AAGAGAGTATGTCAACCAGTGGATTCTGAATAGATTTCACTGTGCTTGGAATGGTGAGATTAGCAGCAATTCAGAACTGTTGAACTATCAAAACTGCTTGAGCAGGACCCTCAGAACACACTCTGTATCGGGCACCTGGGATGGGTGGGAGGCTGGGTGGGGCTTCTCCCCTGACACCAGATACAGCGGGAAAAATGATGGTATTAGTGTGGAAACAATGTTCTTACCCACTTTCCTGTAACCCTTGACCCTTTGTACCCTAATCAACTATGTAATATTATAAATAATAATAATAAATAAAAAATAAATGAAATAAATAAAGTGAGAACAAAAGAGAATTTTCCATCCACTGTTTCTTTTCCTTAAATGCCCGAACCACTTAGGGCTTCACCAGGCCAGGAACTCCATCTTAATCTTCCCTATGGGTGTCATAATTTCAAATACTTCACTATCTTCTTTCCCAGGATATGCATCGGCAGGAAGCTGGATCAGAAGTGGAGGGGGCATGAGACTCAAGCCAGGAACTCTAATATGGGATATATAAGTCCCAAGTGCTGTGCCAAATACCCATCCTTACTAACAGTAGTCATTTTTATAAATAAGTTTTTGGAAATTCCTTCTTTAATTTTGTGAAGGAAACATCCCAGTGCCCATTCGTATTGAAAACAGAGAAAATAGCCACAGGTTACTCAATTAGATCAACAACTTCTAACACTGATACTTGAAGGTATAAGAATAAATGCTTAGCCCCCAATAGAAGAGGATCTTTGTGTAACATGGGAAATTGTTATTTTACTTATCTGTGAAGTAGAACGTCACCAATTTTAACATATCAAGATAAATGGCATTTAGCAGTTTATATTAACAAAATGGAGAGGAAAGTTATTATGGACCATTGGTTAAGCTGCAGCTTGGAATTCCCACATGCTTTATGGTTATGCCCAGCATAGAGTTCCTCTTCTGCTTCTGATCTGGCTTCCTGCATGGAGGAGGCAGCAGGTAACCCAAGAGTTGGAATTCCTGCTATTCACATATTGAGATCCTGATGAAATTTCTGGCTCCTCAATTTTGCTTAACTTAGTTCCGGTTGTCTGAGGGCATTTGGGGTGTGAGCCAGCAAATGGAAGATGTCTCTCTCTGTGTCTCCTCTCCTCCCACCATTTCACATGTACTCTACTTTTCAAACAAAACTGGGGACTGCCACCATGGCTCAATAGGCTAATCCTCCACCTTCAGGCATCAGCATGCCATATTCATGCCAGTGTGTGTCATGGGTGCTCTACATCCAATCTAGCTTCTTGTTTCTGGCCTGGGAAAGCAGTAAAGAATGGCCCAAGACCATGTGCCCCTGCATACAAGTGGGAGACCCAGATGAACCTATTGGCTTCTGGATTAGTATCAACAAAATTCTGGTCGTTGTGGCCATTTGGAGAGTGAACAAGCAGATGGGACATCTTTCTCACTGTCTCTCCTTTCCGTGAATCTGCTTTTCCAGTAAAAGTAAATAAATAAATAAATAAATAATAACTAAGTCTAAGAATTTTAAAAATAAATCTAAAAAACTAAAAATTAAATTAAAAAAATGATCACCATGAGAATCAATATGGTGGCTAAGGACATGATTAAACAGAGAAACATTAGCCAATGTGAAACAGAGAGGGCACATTACAAGAAACTTGAGAGGACAGAACAAGAGCAGAAGGCTATCTGGAGATTGACAGACACAGGAAAGCAGCAGATACAATGGTGTGGTGTTGCAGTGACTGATATCCATCCCAGCAGCATTCAGCAAGTCATGAGCTAAACTCCACCAGCAGCCAGAACTCCACCAGCAACAAGTGGGAAGGGACATTTACCAGGAGCTCTGGTGGTGAACCCAGACAAAAAACTGCCTGTCCTGCTGGTGTGATTTGAACTGGAGCAGAGACAGAGCAGCAGATCCCAGGCAGGCAGTGCAGGAACAAGATGGATTTCACAGCCCAGTCTGCCCCCTAGAGCCGAATCAGGCACCATTTTGTACAGCATGGAAAAACATTAAGACTGCAGGGACAACAGTGAGCTGTGCATGGGCTAAGTGGGGAGTGAACTCACTGAGCTCCCAGTGCATGAACTGGTACCACAAGGAAAATAATACCAATTTTGGCATCATATGGGTCAAAATAGGTCTGTGTGGCTCCCAAACCTAACAGCCAACAGGTTCTGGCAAGATCAGCACACCAACAATCTAGATATATAGGACACCTGGTGTCTCCTTAGTCTGGGACCTGCTGCAACCAGAAGTGGGAGAAAGATTGCACAGACAATAGTGTAGCCTCAGCACAGTATCACAGGAGGTGGAGAAGAGTGAGCCAAGAGCTGAGGCTACGGAGAACATGATGGAAATCTAACATAAGAACCCAAACCTGAAACTTGGTAGAGGGAATGGCACAAGTGAGTGCTAACAAAGAGCAATGTACCAGCTACAATAAATAAAGTCGAACTGTAGACCTGTTGATGACAGAGTTTACAAATGTTCCCCAAGGAGAAAAATCTCCTAACCAGAAGTACAATGATCAAGAGCAAAAGAAGAGACAAGGGCACAATGAATATTGTTGCCTTTGCCAACCTTAGAATTAACTGAGGGATACATCAAGAAAACGGGGATACAGAATTCAAAACACTTGTTACACAACTTCTTATCAACAATGAGAATCATGAAGGAATATGTTACACAGCAAACAGCAGCAATTAATCAAATGAAAGTTGATATATCAGAAATGAAAAATACAGTGGAGCAAATTAAAAGTACAGTGGAGAGTCTCCAAAACAGAATGAAGGAGGCAGAAGGAAGAATCTCAATTAGAAGATATTTCCTTTCACTAGAGAAGAGCTGGATCAGGCTCAAAAGAGTATTCAAGAATTGAAAGACACTATTAAAAGGCCAAATATGGACCCGGCGGCGTGGTCTAGCGGCTAAAGTCCTCTCCTTGAATGCGCTGGGATACCATATGGGCGCCAGTTCTAATCCCGGCAGCTCCACTTCCCATTCAGCTCCCTGTTTGTGGCCAGGGAAAGTAGTCGAGGATGGCCCAAAGCCTTGGGACCCTGCACCCATGTGGGATACCCGGAAGAATTTCCTCGATCCTGACTTTGGATTGGCGCAGTACTGGCCGTTGTGCTCACTTGGGGAGCGAATCATCAGACAAAAGATCTTCCTCTCTGTCTCTCCTCCTCTCTGTATATCTGCCTTTTCAATAAAAATAAATAAGAGCTCTGGGAGTCTCAGAAGGTGCAGAAAGAGACCGGGTTTACAAATGTATTTAATGAAATAATAAGGGAAAATTTCCCTAATCTAGAGAAAGAATTGGGGAACAACATCCAGGAGGGACACAGAACTCCCAACAGGCTTGAACAAAAGCAAACTTCACCATGACACATGATAATCAAGCTCTCTTCAATCAAATATAAGAAAAAAATCCTGGTCCCTCACCTGCCATGCGGTGGCTGAGGGTCCCCGGGGCGGGCCGTTTCATACCTGGTAAGCACCATGGCGACTCCCTCGCCCACATGGGGAGCCACTCCGGGCTTGCCAGAGTCCCATGGAAGGCCCGCCTTTGGGGGGGCATCGGAGGGCTCTGTGTAGCGGGGCTGGGTGGTCCTACGGGTCGCCAGGGTGTGACTGGAGCCGAGGACACGGACAGGGAGGGGCGGAGCCTAGGCCGGGGGGGTTGGTCACTGAGTCAGTTCAGCTTGCCTCTAGATTTTGATCCTCAATTTGACAAGCTGAATAAGTTTAAATCTGATTCTCCAACTCAAATCCAATCATTCCTGTCAACAGACATGTCTGCAATTATATATTATCACACAGTATATCATCAGACACTTGTATAATAGTCAGGTTCTCCAAAAAGTCAGAACCAATAGGCTAGAGAGACAGAGAAAATGATGGACAATAGATAGGTGATAGATTAAAAGTGAAATAAATAACTACAGATAAATGATAAAGAGGTGATATATAGACATATGAATATGTAGGTATACAAGTGCCTATAGATGGGGAATTTACTAGGAAAATTGGCCTGATTGGTCTTGAGGCTGAGAAGTGCCGTGATAGTCTGTTGTAAGCTTAGGATGTTGTCAGGTGAATCAGTCCGAGTCTCAAGTTATAGCAGGGAGAGTAAACAGAAGAGAACAGGTAGAAACAGTTCAGGTAATGATGAATGGTTCAGGGACTAAGGTGGAAATCATGCAGTTTTGGAATATGTTTTCAAGGAAGAACCCATGAGATCTAGTGTAATTGGACATAGTGGGGAGTTTGCTGTTCTAAGTCCTGGAGTGCAGAGGTCAGAGATCCTTGTTCTCATATCCAAGGGTGGAGAAGAGTGTATCCCAATCCCCAGAGAAAAAGAACCCCCATTTTCTTCTATGTGAGCCCCAATTAGTTGGATAGTTCCCACTTGGCTGAAGGCATCGCTTCCCCAGCTATGATTCACAGGTTAAACTCTTCTGGAAATGTCCTCACAGACACACCCAGAAATAATCATACACCAGTTTTCCAGTTAATTTTATCTCAGTTTGTTACATAAACGAACTATTGCACCAGCTAAAGAAGTTAGAAGAGGAAAATTCATATTTCCAATAATGAATGGTAGGATCATAGTTAGTACACAGTTTTGGTATCTAAACCATCCATATCTTCATATTTGCATAGTAATGTCTCCTCTATCTCACTGAACCACTTTGCAGTGTTGTTCTGAAAGGGTAAACCAACTAGTGACTAGTAACTGTGGAGTGCTCTGTCTTATGACAGCATATTGAATATTTCTCATTCCACTCTACTTCAAATGACTACCATTCATAGTTTCAGCTCCTATGTAGTCAGTCGTAATGTTTTACATTTGTACTGCAATAGTATTATTAGATTTACCATTACAATAAATCTCTTTCTCCAAATGTATTTTAAAGTTTACTTTGTAAATTTTCTAATTACTATAGGTTTGTTTTAAAAATGTTTTTTTTAGGCATGTCTCTTTCGAGCATGAGACTCAACCTAGCAGGAGTGATTTTGAAAAGCCAACCTTTAGACCACACTTTGTTCCAACAAATACAAAAATTGAAGAAACTAAGCCAACAGGTAATACCTTCGATTTATTAATAGGTTGCTATTACTATTTTTTTTATTTGTTAACATGTGTTAAAAATTCTGTGGCTGAATAATGTTCTACAATATGTGCACACCATATTTTAATTATCCAGTCATCTCTGATGGACAACTGAGTTTATTCGATATGTTAGCTTCTATGAACCGAGTGGCAATACACATGGATATACAAATACCTCTCTTGAATGCTGATTGCGTTTTATTTGAGTAAAGTCTCAGGGGGTGACATAGCTGAATTGGTAGATCTCCGTACTGTCCTCCAGAACGTAGAGCTACTTTACATTCCTGTTGATTGGCATACCCTTCTCCCACATCCTGGCCAGCATTTATTATTTTTGTGATTTTCAGAGGATAGACATTCTAACTGGGATGAGGTGAAACCTCATTCTGTTTATTAGCATTTCCGTGTGATCTTTAGCGTTTCTTAAATATGTCTGTTGGCCATTTGCATTCCATTTTTTAAAAATTGCCAATTCAGATCTTTTGCCTATTTCTTAACTGAATTTTTTGTTTCATTGTTGTTGAATTTCTCAAGCTCTTCAGAGAAGCTGAATATTAATCCCTTATCAGTTGCATTATTTGCAAAATTTTTGGTTGTTGATTGTCTATCTATTTTTGGTAGTTTCCTTTGCAGTGTCAAAGCATCCTAGCTTGATATAATCCCATTTGCTTATTTTTTTATTTAACTGCCTGTTCTGGAGACTTTTCCAAGAAGTCTTTGCCTACGACCATGTCTTGCAGAGTTTTTCAATGCTTTTCTTGAGCAATTTGATGTTAAAGGGCCATAGACCTAGATCCTTCATGCATTTACAATTTTTTTTTGAAAGGTATGACAGGAGTCTTGTTTCACACTTTTATACATGCAGATCCAATTTTACAAGCACCATATGTTGAAGAGATTGTCCTTTCTCCATAAGTTGGTTTCAGTTTTCTTGCCAAAAAAGAGTTGACCATAGACGCTTAGGCTGATTTTTGATATTTCTGTTCTGTTCCATTATTCTGCATGACTATGTTTGTGCCTGTTTGTGCCTACCACTTCCCTGTAGTATGTCTTAAATTCTGGTATATTGATGCCTCCAGGTTTGTTTTCTTCATTTCAGATTGCTTTAGCTTTTTGCGATCTCGTATTTACATATATTTATTTTAACATCACTTTTTTCTAGACTAGATCTGAGAGGCAAATCATGGGTATTTTGCCTGGGATCACATTGAATCAGTAGATTGCTTTTGGTAATATGGGCATTTTGATGGTATGCTATCAGTCAGTGAATATGGAAAAGTATTTTCCTTTTTTGGAGTCTTCTTTCTTTGTTTTGTAGTTTTTATCTTAGAGATTCTGTATATCATTGGTTAGGTTTATTCAAAGATACTCAGACTTTTTGTTGTGAATTGGACTGGTCTTACAAGTTCTTTCTCAACCATGGACTTGTTTGTGTATACAAAGGCTATTAATTTTTATGTGTTGATTTTTTAACTTACCACTTTACCACATTTGCTCCTGCATTCCAATAGTCTGTTAGTAGATTCTTTTTGTTCTCCTATATAGAGACTCATATTCATCTACAAACAAGTGAACTTGATGTCCTCCTTTCTAATTTGTGTCACTTTGATTTCTTTTTCTTGGATAATGACTCTGGCCAAACCTTCCAGGACTACACTGAATATTAATGGTGAAAGTGGCGTGCTTGTCTTATTCTGGATCTTAGCAGAAATGACTCCAACTTTTCCCCATTCAATATCAAGCTGGCTATGAGTTTTATATATAGTCCCTTGATTGTGTTGAGGACTATTCCTTCCATATATGATTTGCTTAAGGATTTTTAAGATGAAAAAAATGTACTTAATCAAATGCTTTCTCTACATCTATTGAAATGAATCACATGGCTTTGTTTATTCAAGTTGTTAATGTGATACATCACATTTTTTATTTGTGTGTATTGGACTATCCTTGCATAGCAGGAATAAATCCCAGTTGGTCCAGATGAATGATCTTTCTGATATGTTGTTAAATTGGATTAACTAGTATTTTACTAAGGATTTTTACATCTGTGTTCATCACGGATATTGATCTGTAGTTTCCAAACATGTCTTAAGTATTGGAAGTTCTGTTTCAGCAATCCTGGGGGTCCAAATAATTCCTTCAGATTCATATTTAACTTCATTTGGATAAATTTCCAATGGATCGTACAGTGGATTTATTTTCATATATGAGAATCCCCATACTGTCTGTCATTAGGGTTACACTAGTTTAAAGTCCCATCAGCAAGATGTATTGGTACCTTTCCCCACCAACATCCTTCACAGGATTTATTGTTTGTGAATGATAACCATTCTAACTGCAGTGAGATGTTATTTTATTGTGATTTTAATTTGCATTTTTCTGATAACTAGTGATCCTGAGTATTTTTTCATTTATCTATTGGCCACCTGTATTTTATTCTTTCAAAATGCCTATTTATGACCTTTGTCCATTTTTAATTGGGTTGTTTGTGTTCTTGTTGAACTTCCTGACCTCTTTATAGGCTAATTTTATTAATCCTTTTTCAGTTGCCTAACTTGCAAATATTTCTCCCATTCTGTCACTCGCCTCTGAGGAGTCTTGTTTGACATTTCTGATACATAGATCCATTTTTCGTAACACTATTTGTTGAAGAGACTGTCTTTTCTCCAAGGATTGATATTAGTTCATTTTTCAAAGACTAGTAGTTTGTGGAGGATTTGTTTCTGCAATTTCTATTCTGTTCCATTGGTCTACAGATCTATTTTTGTGCCAATACCAGAATATTTTGGTTATACTTTTTTCTTTTACAACCTTGAATGTATTGTCTCACTCTCTTCTGGGCCTGTAGAGTTTCTGCTGAAGTTTGATGCTATTCCGGTTCATTTTCCTTTTATGTGCACCTTGACAGGATTCCCTCATTGTCCTTAACTTTTGAAAACTTGACTACAATATACCCTGAAGATCTTTTTTAGCTGAGTGTACTGGGGGGAGGGGAACCTTTTGCACTTCCTGTAGCTGGATGTTCATGTTTTTCTGTTTGTTTGTTTCATGTCTGATAATTTTCATCTGATATTTTATTCAGCAGGTTTTCAATGCCTTTTTTTCTTTTCTCCTTTGGGGATCCTATAATAGAAATATTTGGTCATTTAATGGTATCCCATGTTTCATGTAGATTTTCTTTCTTGTTTATTTTTGTCTGATCGAGTTATTTTAAAAGCAATATCCTCTAGAAAGTCTTCCCTCCACTTGATCTATTCTGTTGTTAAACCTCCAAATTACATTTTTTTATTTTGCTGATTGAAGATCTTCACAATTTCTATTTAGTTTTCCTTAGTGACTTCTACCCCTTTGTAATATTTATTTTGAGGTGATTCATTGATTTCCTCATTTCTTGAACTTATTTATATTCTCATGCATTGCATTGAATTCCCTTAAAATCATCAGGTTAAATTCTATGTCTGCTGTTTCACAGATGTACTTTAGTTCAGGAGATTCTCTAATTATGGAGAACTATTTGGTACCTTGGCTCTTGCAGGCACCTGCGGAACTACCGGGAGATGGAATCCCTCTCTTTCTTCTCCATATCACCTTTTGTCTTTTTCATTCTGCTTTTCAAATAAGTTTGTAAAAGGTTAAAAAAATGTATATAAACCTTTTTTTTTTTTTTTTTACCAGAAACACTTTCAGCATTAGAAATCTTGAGGATTTCTGAGCTAGGACCCAGCATTAGAGAACCTCAGAGAATTTAATTGTTAAGTCTGGTCTCCATTTTTTGTTTTCAGGCATTATCAAAGGATCAATCGTTCAATTGTATCTTTTTAAAAGATTTATTTATTTTTATTTGAAAGACAGAGTTACAAAGAGACAGAGACAGATCTTCCATCCACTTTCAATCCCCAAAAGGCTCCAACTGCCTGAGCTGAGCTGATTTGAAACCAGGAGCTAGCAGCCTCCTCCAGGTCTCCCATGTGGATACAGGGTCCCAAGGTTTTGGGCAGTACTCTACTGCTTTCCCAGGCCACAAGCAGGGAGGTGGATGGAAGTTGTAGCAGCAAAGACATGGACTGGCAACACAGGGAGGGAGATTAACCTGTTGAGCCATGTCAACAGTCCACAGTTGTATCATTTTCATAAACCTGAATGACTCTACGCCCAAATTGCCTCATTCTGGGTTATAATCTAACATCTCAAAAGAGTTATGCACATACGTTCTCCCTACACCCTCCATTCGTGTTTAAACCTCAGTCTACTGTATTCTGCTTTTCTGCCTCTAGCATTCTACTGAATCTCAACTGCTGAACAATTACCTACAACATTCATGTTGCTAAAGCAAACAACATTTTTCTGTTCCACTTTCTTCCGTCTCTCCATATTAGTATAGTTAGTCGATCATCATTTCACGCTTGAAATCTTGCTGGGGAGAATGTGGACCCCAATCTCGTGTTTCCCGTAGTGCTATCTTACTCTCTCCTTGTGGTTGGCTACCGAGTTCCTTATGTACTATGGGTATTATGGACTCATCAAATACGGTTTGCCAATATTTTCTCCCACTCTGTAGGTTCACTCCATAGGTTCATATTGTTTTCTTTGCTGTGCAGAATATTTTAGCTGGATGAAATCCCATATGTCTATTTTTGTTTTCTATGCTTTTACGATCTTATCTAAAAATTCCTTTCCTGACCTAACAGCCTTAAATGGTTTTTTATGACTTTTTCAAGCTTTCAGCCTTTACTACCCACTATGAGCTGATTTTTGTGTAAGGTAGGAGGTGGGGGAAGCAGCCCCAGTTTCTTTTTGTTGCATGTGGATCCTCGATTTCCCCTCTCCTTTTACCGAAGATTTCCTTTATCTATTGTGTGTTCTTATCACCTTTGCCAAAAAAATCGGTTGACTGTAGAGTGTAAGCTTACTTCTTATGTTCCGTGGGTCAGTGTATCTGCTTTCATGCTATTTTAGTTACATTAATCTTGTCCTATGCTTTGAAGTTAGGTACTATAATGCCTTCTGCTTTGTTCATTTTGCTCAAGGTCTCTGGCTACCCCAGGGGTTTTCATGGCTCCATAGCAACATTAGGAGTTTTTTTTTTTTTTCTAGTGAAGAATTCTGTGAAGAATACCACTGGAATTTTTAAATGAGTGAACTGTATTCCTAGATTAGTGTGGACACAGACATTTCAACAACACTCAGACTTTTAATACACGAACATGAGGCGTATTTTCTATTTCTTTGTGTCCTCTTCAGTTTATTTTACCAATGTTTTGTGATTTTCATTGTTAAGATATTGCACTTCTTTGGTCAAATTTATTTTCAGGTATTTTACTGTGTTTTGGTCAAAATAATTGTTCAAAAATACTTCTAGGTATTTTGTTGTTTTGTTTTTATAGTTATTGAAAATATAATTGCTTCCTTGAACTCCTTTTCAGATAATTCACCCATAGTGTATGGCAACACTACTGACTTTTGTGTGTTGATTTTGTATCCTGCAACTTTGCTGAATTTGTTGATTGGTTCTAATGGGTGTTTGGTGGAATCTTCAGAGTTTCCTATGTAAATGTGTTTTCTGCATGTATTGAGATGATCATTTGTGGGTTTTTGCCCTTTACTCCATGGTATCTTGTAGTGTTTATTGACTTGCATGTATTGAACCATCCTTGCATCCCTGTGATAAATCCCACTTGGTCATGGTGAATGTTTTTAAAATGTGCTCTTGAATCTGTTTTCTGGTGTTTTGTCAAGACTTTTTATATATGTCCATCAAGGATATTGACTCAATTGACTATATTCATTCTCATTCCCCACCTCCCTGCTCCTCACTTAAACTTCTATTTTTTTCTAGTCACTATCAATGCAATTACCAGGTTTTTCAGAGAAATATGCTTTCCCCTTTGCTAGACTAACACTTTTCATTCACATAGTTTACGCCTCATTTGATTACCAATAGAAAATGGTTGATTTTTTATGTAGAAATAGTTTGAGATTTGAAATGTTGTTTTGGATTATTTTTCTTCAGAGCAAGTAGAAGATAATCTAAAACCAAGATGTGCTGAAGCTTTTCACTACCTTAAGGATGCACCCGAGGTAGGTTTAATTGGTATACTTGCAACTAACATTCAGATTGACCTCAATAATGTTACACATACTCCCATAAATCTCAAAATCAAAGCCATAAAATTTTAAAGTAGAATTGATCCAGGAGACTACAGAGAAAAATTCATTCAGAGAACTAGTAAAGGAAAGTCACTTAAGAGAGTCTCTTAAGTATTAACATATTATTTATAAACTGTGATAATTGTAATTATGGACAGAGAAATATCAAGATGTTTATACTTACTAGCAGTTACAACTGAGTATGTATTTCTGTATTTTATAATTTTAAAGTTTTTACCAGATTCAATGCCCAGATTGTAAGTCTTAGGCTCATTTATATAGTGTATTAGGTTGGAAATAAATACTAATAAATACTAATGTCACAATCAATTTGCTCATAACAAAAAATTTAGATCTATACAAAACGTGTACTACTTTTATTTTAAAGCTAAACATGTGCTTATCATTTTTAAATTAGGTAATGTAAGAAGTCACTGCACAAAGTCCTCTCATTCATTTTTTTAAAAGATTTATTTATTTTTATTGAAATGCAGGTTAATTGAGAGAAGGAGAGACAAAGAGAAAGAGATCTTCCATCTGCTGGTTTATTCCCCAAATGACTACAATGATTGGAGTTGATTTATCTGAAGCCAGGAGGAGCCAGGAGCTTCTTCTGGGTCTCCCACATGAGTATAGGCGTCCAACAACTTGAGCCATCCTCTGCTGCTTCCCCAGGTTATAAGCAGGGAGCTGGATTGGAAGTGGAGCAGCTAGCTTAATTTTCCAGATACTTCTTCTTGAACTTAATCTTTATATTCCTAGGATACATATCCAAGAAATGTTCTAAGAAACAGCATATTTCTTCTTTCACTAATATACCTGTTTCATAATTTGGATGAGTTGAATTAGGATTCAAAAGCTTTTTTTTTTTTCTTTAGACTTTAAAGATACTATTCTACTATCCCATGAAATTTTCTGTTGCTTTGAAAAATTCTGTATTGTCATAAGAGACAAGATTATTTTTCTGGAAACTTTAAGACCTTCTGCCCATCAGTGTTTCTCTGAGATGTCTACAGAATTACCCAGGGGTGGCAATTTTACTTCAGTTAATTCTATTCAACATTCATGGACCCTGCTTTATAGCCAGTGTCTTTAAAAGTTTTTTTTTAATTGTATTTTTGATGATCTTCTAGCCAAGTGTCTTTAGGCCTAAAAAATCTATTATTTCTTTGATGATTTAATCTGCACTACTTTCTCCATTTTCTATTGTTATGTACTAGATTTCTTGGATTGGTCTCTACAACACCTTTCATTCCTTTCTGTTGCTGAAAATTTGCCCTTAATTATGAGAAATGTCTCCGTTTCCTCTTTCAGTCATTTTCCCACATTTTTGCTCAGCAATCATATCTTAGGTTTCCAATATTTTTTTCTTATTCCCTGCAGTGGTTTTTCTCCCCTATAAAATCCTGTCAACAATTTTCTCAAAAATTTCCCAAGGATAATTACAGTTTTTTTAAAAAATATTTTTTATGTTTCTTAAAGTATCCATTACAAGACATCACCTATTTAGAATAGAGTATGTCTTGAACTTGGACTTCCCAGTGTGTACCTAACTATGGAAAGTGACTTTCCATTGTATATAAATCACCTAGTTTTTTTTTTTTAATGCTTGTTTTCATTTACCTTTCATTTACATAAAAGGCAGAGAGAGAGAATCCATCAAGTACCTACATAGACATGGGTGAGCCAGATCAAAGCCAGAAGCTGGAAAGTCCATCTGGGCATTCCATGTGAGTGGCAGAGGCCCATGCACGTGAGCCATTAACAGCCTTCTTCCAGGCACATTAGTGAGAAGCTGGGTTGGAAGCTGGAGAAGGTGGACTTGAATCAGTACTTTCTATGTGGATGTCAGGGACCTGATTTACTTTGCACAAATCCTGCCCCAAATTATGTAGGTTAGTTGTTTATCTATATATTTATAACTTTATGAAACAGTTGCATAGGCACTGAGATTCTGCCCTTTCCAAAAATCCCCTCCACTCCGATTTCCTCTTTGTTATTATGATACTATAGTATTTCAGAAATAGTCATAAGTGCATCATTCTATTATTTAAGTGTATCCTGACATTGTAGGTATTGACAATGACAGAGAGTCCAATATCCTATTGTCAAGATATATTTAACAGTTTCTTTCGGAATCCATCTTTGAGTTGGAAATAGAGATGCATACTGAATGGTATCTTTGCATCTGGAGATGATAGTCTTGTTCACAGGTAACTATATATCCCCTTAAATGAAAAGTCATAAAACAAAATCCATAACAGGAAGAAAACCAAAAAATTTACAACAACATAAGTGAAATAAAATTCTACTGAATAATTAATGTGTGGCTAGAGAAATGAAAAAAAAAAAAACCTTTTTTAAGCAAACAGTGCTATTATATGACCCAAGAGTCACTGAATTAATGAGAGAAAAACCTTTTTGATGAAATAAAAATAAAAGCAAAAATAGCAAAACCCATGAGATGCAACAAAAACAATATTGAAAGGGACATTTATAATATTAGATGCTTATAAAAAATTAAAATATCTCAAATAAATTATGTAATAGTGCAACTCAAGGACTTATTAAAAAAAGAAAAAATGAACAAGAGGCAAGATTGATAAAAATCACAGCAAAAATAAATGAAATTGAAAACAAAAAAAAATTATCGATTTCAACAAGAGGCATTTTTATAGGAGATGGGCAAAACAGGCTTTTAGCCCGATTAGCAAAGAAAAGCAAGAGAGAAAAACCAAGTAAAATTAGAGGTGAAAAAATAAACATCCTAACAAATTAGTAAGGTGATCTCTTCTTGCTGCATGGATCCTTCTATCATTATGTGGTGTCTTTCTTCATCCCTTCTAATATTTTTCACATCAAAGTCTGTCTTGTCTGAAATAAGAAAGGCTACACCAGCTCAGTTTTCTTTTCCATTAGCCTGGGATATCTTTTGTAATAGCAGCCCAAACAAAATTTAAAAGATACTGAATTTTCATTTGCTCTTATTTAAGAGCAAAGCTGTGGATTAATTTGTTTATAGGATGCTGCCATTAACTTTTGCAGAGTTGCAGTATTGGCTATCTGAGCCTCTGAGTTCTCAATCAACTAGCTCTGCCTTAGGGTGGGAGGGCAGAGAGGAGGCAGGTTGTTGTGCAGTCTTCATTCCAGACCGCAAAATGAGAACAGTTTTTTTTTTTTCTGGGGAGCCAAAACCCACACTGAGGTGGCCAATTAGCTTAGCAGCTGCAGCTGGTTAAGATACCCTGCTTTCACCAGAGTTCCAAACCTGAGCCTAGCTCCTAACTTCCTGCTAATGCAAACACTGCAAGTCTGTGCTATTGGCTCAAGAAATTGGGCTCCTGCCATTCATGAGAGACCCAAATTGATTCCTGGCTCTGGGTATCTGCCTGGCATAGACAGGCACTATGGAAATGAGCAGAGGGTAGGAGCTCTCTGCCACTTTGCTTCTCAAACAGCTATTTAATACCTCCCACACTAGTAGGAGGTGTTTTTGTTTTGTTTTGTTTTGTTTTGTTTTGTTTTATTTTAAAACCTGAATTCGATGAAATGTTATGGCCTGTGCCTTTGCATGTGGGTAGGGTAGCTGCTAGAAAGTGGAGGAAATGGCAACTGGTTTAAAAAGCCCAAAGTCAGACTTTCAGTTGGCTTATTTCTTCACAACTTTCATCTTGATACTACAGGTTTTATTCTTTTAAAAAAGTTATTTTCAGCAGTTCTCATCCAGTATTTGTAATGTTTTTAATTGTTTTTGGACTTTCGGAAATTTGCTGATATCTCTTGTCATTGCTGAATCTCTCTTTTACTAATGCATACATATCCATGAGCATCTCTCTATTCTCTATTGCAGATTGATTCTTTTTGTATTTGTTTGCTCTAATTGTGAAGCAATTTCAGCATTGCGTGGCTATAAACACCATAATTTCTTTAACTAGATTTTCTGTTCCTGACACATTGTGAATTTATCTTACTTTTTTTTATCAATCATAGTTGTAACATCAGCTTTAAAGCATACTAATTTCAATATAGAGGATTTCAGGATTAATCTCATCTGACTACTTTTTCTATTTATAAAATATTTTTTTAATTTGAAAGGTAAAGTTAGAGAAACAGAGAGACCTTCTATCCACTGGTTCACTCTAGAGGGAGTCGCAAGAATCAGGGCTGAGCCAGGAACTCCTTCTGTTCTGTGGATAGCTGGCACTCAACACTTGTAATACCTTCCACTGCTTCTCCTAGGCCATTAGCAATGAGCTGGATCAGAAATGGAATAACCAGGACCTGAGCTGGCACCCACATTGGATGCTGGCATCACAGGAAGCTGCTTAACTCACTAAGCCACAGCACTGGTCCCCAATTGTTTTTCTATTAAAGCTAACCTGTTGTTGTTTTTATTTTCCTGGCTGTTATATGTTGAGTTTGATCTTGGACATCATGACTGTTATGTACTGGAGAATCCAGGGTCTGTTCTAGTTCTACAAACAGAGTTTATCTGTTTATAGCAATCAAGAACGATGAATTAAAACACAAGGTGACTCTCAAGCAATAGTTCAAATTTTAGTAACATGATGATATCCTCAGTGGCCATTTAGAGTTTTCCCTAAACATCCATGGTTCACAGGTCAGCCAAAACTCTGGACCGGAAGACACCTACATACAGAAGTTCCTCCTAAAAGAGCTCTTCCCATACGCAGAAGATGTAACATGTCCCTCTTTGTGACAGCACGTTTTCTTCTGCTGTTGAGTTTTGGTCACCCTGAACTCTGTCCTTTGTTCTTCCACTCAGAATAATCTGGGTTTCCTATCAGTGTTTTAGATGCCCCTTGCAAAGCCAACCTCAGCCTGTCATCTAACTACAAGTCCCCCAAACAGTGACTTCACCTGATACAGGTCAATTTGTCCACGTTTCAACACTTTAATTTGTTAACTGTTTCTGCTTACTCTCATGGGACAGCAAGTGTGTGTGTGTGTGTGTGTGCAAGCACACACATATGAGGGATAATAAGCATTATTTTAGTCATGCTGAATCTGAATTCATCATGTTACTCTTGGTGGATGATACTCTCCCTGTGCCATAGATGAGTATATCACCAATAACTATGATGACTCTAGCTTTTTACATAAATATAATTTTTTAAAAATGCATTAAGGAGAGGGTGGATGGTCCAACAGTTAAGCTGCTGGATTGGGGCTTCCATATCCCACCTCACAATGCCCGGGTTTGAGTCCTGGTTCTACCTGATTTCAGCTTTCTGTTTATGTGCACCCTTGGAAGCTGTGAAAATGTCCCAAATATGAAGCTCTCACCACTCATCTGAGAGATTTGTATGATGTTACTGACTCCAGGCTGCAGCCTGGCCTAGCTGCTGATGCTGCAGATATTTAGGGCCAGAGCCAATAGCTCGGAGCTCCTTCTCTTTCTCTCTTCCAAATAAAAAAGCAAGTTTTAAAAGTAAATGGAATTATATTGGTATTCTTTATAAGTGTGATTTCTTTGAAAGGCAGATATAAACATTCAAAAAGAGAGAAGGAGAGAGAGATTTAAAAATCTCATCTGCTAGTTCACTCCTACCAAGCCATGAGCTGAGGCACTAAGAAATCACTCTTGGTCTCCCACACGGGTGGAAGGGGAACAATCATGTAAGCTATCGTCATTCCTTCCAAGATGTGAATTAATAGGAACCTGGAGTTGAGATGGGGCCGCTCTGATATGGGAAGCAGGTTGGTCAAGTGGTAGTACAACTGTTGTATCAAATGCCCACCCTAAAATATTGTTTATCATATTAAAAATACTTTCTCTTTTTCTTCAATGATCATTTTTAATAACAGTTATTGAATTTGCTAAATGTACACTCAGGGTTGCAGCTATTGAAATTATTGTTTTTCTCCTTTTGGATAGTTTAAGTGATGAAACACAAAATATTCATTAGAAAATGTTCAATCATGGATTACCTGTTTTTAGCCACTGTAAAATGAGCATTAAATACAGTGTTCATTTTACTACTTTAGTTTGGCTTTGTGGAAAATCCTGAAGGCATAAGTGAGATTTGTTTTTAGATTTCTTTTGAAACATTGCTTTCAGATTTTTGTATTAAGGAGATCACAGCTAAATGGTACTATTAATTACTTCTTAACTTACTCAATAATACATCCATGGGATATATTTATTGCATGCAAATTTGAAAGAACTGATCTATTATTTTATTTAAGTCTGGCTACTCTTTAAAACTACCATTTTAAAAAAGGTTTACTTATTTTTATTGCAAAGTCAGATATACAGAGAGAAGGAGAGACAGAGAGGAATATCTTCCTTTTGTTGATTCACTCCCCAAGTGACCACAACGGCCTGTGCAGCGCCAATCTGAAGCTGGGAGCCAAGAATTTCCTCCAGGTCTCTCACATGCGTGCAGGGTCCCAAAGCTTTGGGCCGTCCTCGGCTATTTTCCCAGGCCACAAGCAGGGAGTTGGATGGGAAGTGGAGCTGCCAAGATTAGAACCGGCGCCCATATGGGATCCCAGCACATTCAAGGCAAGAACTTTAGCCACTAGACCGTTGCGCCGGGCCCAAAACTACCACTTTTAGAAAGGGGATCATTTACAACTCCTTTAGGAACCATCAGTATGTTCAAATTTTCTACTAGTTTTCAAGATAGTTTGGTGATTTTTCTTTGTGATCAAATTATTGTTTTACTCTTAATGCCACCATAATGTAACACTTCCTGAATGATTTTCATGCATTTACGGTATTGATTGCTGTGGCTCTTACTGATACTGCGTACTGCGTAATAGTGGTTACTATGATTGATTTATGTTCATCACATCAATAAAAATGTGAGGCTTTTTTGTTGGTTAGATTTTTGCCATATTCAATATTTTCATTTTATGTTATCCAAGACTAAACATACTCTTTGTCTTATGTGAAAAATGTTGCAGGTCCTAAACAATTATTTATTTGGTTTGTTGATCAAGAATCACAAACCACGGAGTTGACTTTCTTATTGCTATGCATATTTTGGATATCAAGATTTGTGTATTTTTATAAAAAGCACAAGGGCCTAATCTGAGTTTGTTACCTTGGAGAATCTGGGCCACTCTCTTCCTCAATTTCTCTCCCTTTAATCAGAACAAGTTTCCTGTGCATATTCTATGTTAGTCAGTAAAGGAAGGAAGACCCTTTCCTCGGAATTTGAATTTTAGATTTTACCTGCACTTGGTTATTTTTATTATTATTATTCTCATTGGAAGTGCAGATATACAGAGAGAAGGAAATAGAGAAAGATTTGTTCTCTGCCTTACTACCCAAATGGCCACAACAGCCAGAACTGAGCTGATCTAAAGCCAGGAGCCAGGAGCTTCTTCCATGTCTCCCACATGGGTGCAGGGTCCCAAGACTTTGGACCATACTCGACTGCTTTCCAGATCACAGACAGGGAGCTGGATGAGAGGTGTAGTAGCTGCTATACAAACTGACTCCTATGGGATCCTGGCAGATGCAAGACAAGAATTCAGTCACTGGGCTATTGCACTGGTCCCCCTGCACTTGGAGAAATAAATTTTATGTGAATTTAAAGGTTGTGTTTCAGATAAAAAGACAACGCAATTTAATAAAAAGTGAGTATTGGCAACTCTTTAAACATGTATGGGTTACAGATATCCTATTGAGGTGCCAGTGCAGTGGCTCAACAGCCTAATCCTCTGCCATCATCAAATATGGGCACCAATTCATGTCCCAGCAGCTCCACTTCAGGTCCAGTTCCCTAATTGTTATCACCTAGGGTGTGCAATAGCAGGAAGCTGGAACAGGAAGTGAAGCCAGGGTTTGAACCTAGGTCTACAACATGGAATGCAATTGTTCCAAACAGCATTTTAATTGCTGTGACAAATATTTGCCCCTTCTATTCTGCAGGTTTGCTTTTTTATCCTTAAAGTAGTAGTGATAATTTCCACATTATAGGGCTATCTGAGAGTAAAGTAAAGCATTCATTAAAACATTAAATGAACAAGAAAACCATTATCATCAATCGATATCCAAATATCAAGTACAGATGATTTATAAATATATACCCAGAAAGAAGGAGTTTCTATCATAGTTTCTCTTTTTTCCTCGTGTTTAACTATAAAATGCACAACCCTTACATAGTCTGCATTCACAGTCTCCACAATCCCGTGGAAGATCCTTGGGTTCGGCAACCCTGTCTCCTGAACTCAGCACTCCAACTAACGCTTCGGAAAGGCAAAAGGGCTCTACTTCATGTGCAGGTATTTCTGTGGTTTATATTGAAATAACTGAAACTTAATTGCGCCCAAATTTAGGATATAAACTTGAAGAATATCTTTAATCAAGTACTATTTTTGATTATACTACCTTATTTTATTACTTAAAATAGTTGAAGACTATTTAAAAACTGGTAAAGTCCAAATTATATAACATGGCACATAAAATCTTACCAAGTTTTCTTTTTTAAAGGTTATATTTATTTATTTGATAGGCAGTTACAGACAGAAGAAGAGAAAGTTGAGAGAGAGTGAGAAAGCGAGATAAAAAGAAAGAGTGAATGAGAGAGAGAGATTCTCCAGCCCCTGGTTCACTCTTCAAATGGCCAGAATGGCCAAGTCTGGACCAGAATCCAGGAGCTTCTTCCTGTCTCCCATGGGGGTGGCAGAGGCCCAAGCACTTGTTCCATCCTCTGCTACTTTCCCAGGCACATTAGCAGAGAGCTAAATTGGAAGTACACCAGCTGAGACACAAAACAATGTGCATCGAGACACTAGCACTGGGCCAAATGAAAGTCAGGGGCTGGCACTCCATCCATGTCTCCCATGTGAACAGCAGAGTCCCAAGTACTTGGGCCATTATCTGCTGCTTTCCCAGTTATAGCAAATGGGAGTGGAATCAGAGTATGACACCTGGGACCTGAACTGGCATTCCAATACATTCAATACAACTGGATGGCTGCCACACACAGTGGTTTAACACACTGTGTCAGAATGCCAGCCCCTCCAGTCTTCCACTAAAGCTGTCTGTGCACATTGCATTGATTCTAGTTCTATTTAACATGCTATTCCAATATGTGTGAGTTGATCTAGATTCGCTTCTGTTACCAAAACATATTTCTCTCCTATCAGTCTTTACTGGGAGAAAGTTTGTCGCAAGTTAAAGAAAATCCAACAGCATGTAGTTTAAATATTGGAAGTACTTATTATCCCAGATAAAAATAAATCTACTGGTAAGGCAGTTCTAAAGTTTATCAATTCATGGGCTAAATGATATCATCAAATATCTAGTTCCCCCATATTTCCTCAACTGTCTTACCATCTTAGCAGATGATTTCTCCTTCTATGCTTGCTTTATAACAAGGTGACATCCCAGATGACAGCATTTACCCATTGCTAGACCAATGAGTCATTGTGGGCTTATCTCAGTGTTTCCAATTTTCCACACCATCCACAGTAATAGCTTTTATATAATATAGTAATCTGTCTAATCCATCTTCCTATCAATCATCTCTTTTAAGATTCAACTTCTTAGAATTCTAGTTACCTTTCTTTCTCTCTGGTAGTTAAACATGATTTCAATATTTTGGCGGAGTTTTTAAACCACTATTACTAAGGATACAGGTGATACCCTCTAATAAATTATATTTTGTTATATAGAATGCTAGTCAAGCGACACTAAATTGTTTTCACAAAGTGTGAATGGGTTGTAGCTCATATTTTGAAAAACAAAGGTTTAGAAGTATAGGATTTATTTCCTCAACTTGAGAAGAGCCCCAGCTTCCTTTGAAGGATATAGTTGCTCATAGGACAAGATTAGAGTCTGTAAAAAAAAAAAAAAAAAAAAAAAAGATTAGAGTCTGTGAGGAAAGGGAGAAAGTGGACTTGCCAAGTTATACTATACTAATAGTTTTACCTAAATGTCACATATTCGCTGAAGTGTAACCTTGAGAGCTGTGGCAGGATATTGTGCCTTTTCAGCAAAGTAAAGCTCTCTATAAAAGGTTTATAAAATTTTGCTTTTATTTCATTTGAATAGCAGATGGACAAAGAGACAGCAAGGTTTAGATTCATCCTCTGACTCAGTACCTGAATGTCCTTAAAAGTCAGGGCTGGGTCAGATCAAAACCAAAAAACCAGAATTCATTCTGGGGCTCCCATGTGAGCGGTAGGGATTCAAATACTTGAGCATTCACTTGCTGCCTCCCAGGAATTAATTGGTAAGAAACTGGAATTAGGACTGGAGTAGAACTCAAACATAGACACTCTGAAATGGCATGCTGATCCCTAAGCAGTGTTAACCCTTGTGCTAAATGCCTGATTCCATATTTTCTCTCCAGAAACTTTCTATGCTTCTTTTATCAGGGCACCAAGTTAAAACTTTTGGGAGGGCTTGGTGCTATAGCATAGTGGTTTAAGTCCTCGCCTTGAATGTGCTGGGATCCCATATGGGCGCTGGTTCTAATCGCAGCAGGCCCACTTCCCATCCAGCTCCCTGCTTGTGGCCTGGGAAAGTAGTCAAGGATGGCCCAAAGCTTTGGGACCCTGCACGCATGTGAGAGACCTGGAAGAGCTCCTAGCTCCTGACTCCTGGCTTTGGATTGGCTTAGCTCCAGCCGTTGTGGCCTCTTGGGGAGTGAACCATAGGACAGAAGACCTTCCTCTCTGTCTCTCCTTCTCTCTGTATATCTGCCTTTCTAATAAAAATAAATAAATCTTGAAAAAAAATTTGGGGAAAGTTTGCAACATAAATGAACATTTATCTCCATCGAAGTAAAAAATTAAATATAAAAATTAAATATTTAAAAAGTCATTAAAACACCATAAGATGTTTGATCCCAAACTGAAAGACAGCCTTTCATGCATTACAATGTGAGGCAACTTAAATGAATATACCAAAAGTATGTGTAACCTAATTTCCTGGGAGAAATCAATAACATTGAAAGAGCTGGGAGAAGATATTCTGAAATATCTGTATGAATTACCTTCCTACACAGACATACTCAACTTAAAGTTAGCAAACTTCAAACTTCCCCTAGGAATTAATTTCTTTATTGCAAGTCAACAGCATTCCAAGTCTGTTAGCAGGATTTTGAAAGAAATAGGATGGTTACAACCAGTCAATTCTTCCTGTCTTCAAATATACTCAAAGTTAGGGTAAAATCTCTCAGCGTGGATTTATAAAATCTAAAAGGGAAGGTTGGTGATAGAAAAGAAAAAGGTATAATTTTGCAGGGTGGGCATTTGACAGAGCGGTTAAAATTAAAAGCAATACGGCCTGCTTTCCCAGTCCATACTGCATGGGACCCCCACATGCATCATAGTGTCCGTGGTTGGGTACTTGCTCTGCTCCCAATCCCAGCTTACCTTCAGTGCACACTCTGGCAAGTAGCAGGTGATGGCTGAGATAGCTGAGTCCCTGCCACTCGGGTGAGAGTGAGTTTCTAGCTCCTGGCTAGAACACACACACCACACACACAACCACTGTGTTGCTTCTGTCACGGCTTTTTCTGTTTTCTCAGAGAAGGCAGGCAAGATCTAATGGCCTTCACAGTTTGAGAGTATTTGGGAGAGAGTACTAGAGACAGAATTGTTTTTAAAGTCACAGGCATTGTTAACACGGAACATTAAATCGTGTGACTAACAGCAACAAATACATGGAAACCTGCTCAGAAGTGAAGCAGCCAGGACTTCCAGGACACCCTGATGTATGAGTGGCAAGCGTCTCCAGAGGCAGCTTCATGCCCTGCAGCACAATGCCAATCTCTTTGTTGCATGTGTGTGCTTATCAGTTACCCTCTGTAGCTGAGATATACTTTAATCCATTAGAATTTTTGGTCTTATCTCTTCAAGCATATGTTCTTTATCATTTTCCCAATGTTTTTCTTCCAGAACTCTTAGGTAACTGATAAAAACTTTTAAGTTTACCTTTCATGGCTTTAGCAATTTCTGTGCATATCTAGTGTATCTGTTGGTTTTTTCGTTCAATTTGTTGATTACGGGAGGCTGTTCTCCCAGCTGCTTGCCTTCCTGCCTTAATATACCTTCCTGTGGGAGATGCCCTCCATAGCTATTATAAGTGAAGCATCACATTCATATTCTTTCATAATATTTACAAGAATTTGGGGTTACTTTCTATATGCATTTATTTGTTGGTTCACTTGATTATTGACTAACTTCTCCCTCTGGAATACAGGTTTCCAACCAGTGTACTGAGGTTATGAGTGTGCTAAAATATTGATTGTATAGCCCTTGAGTCTGCTCTGTGACCGCTTTGGTAACCTGTCACAAGTAGACTCAACATTTATCTTATCCCAGAGTCTATGCAAATAGTATCAGCTGGAATGTTTGCTATGAAATAGAAGATGCTGGAAAGTATTTTAGATAAGATATTTTCAAAATGTCGTAATACATACATATCCTCTATGAAAATCTTTTTCAGTTTCAGCACAAATTGAAAATAAAACTAGCAACTCATTGGATTCTCTGGATCACTTAGAAGATGATATCAACAAAAGGTAACTTATTTTATAATTTTTAAGGCATACATTAGATTCTTAGGGTCACAGCAAATGCAAGATAACTAACATAATTCTCATGTGAACATGATCCAAAGAAAACTGATCCAATAAACTTCATAGGCAGAAAATTTTTGCTCGGATGAGTCATGCTTCTAACAGTGGGAGTTCTCTTTATTTTATAAGAGGCCAGAATTTATTCCTCTTGATCATTATTAACATTTAGTCTCAAGAAACAATCCAATTAATAGTTCAAGACTGTTTAGTCAGTAGGTGTCAGATCCAGATCTTGAAAACACTAAATGGAGAGAAGGACATGGAAAAATAAGTATAGAGAACACAATTATGTTTTTGGAGTAGAGACAAAAATTTATACTATGACAGAACTGTGAAAAAATTGGTTCTTATTTTTCATATGAAGGTCTGATCTTTCCCATGAGCCCATTAATCTGCAAAATGGGGAGAAACATTAATCCAGTGTGTTGTAGATTTTGCAGTAATAATGAACTACCTACTGAGGTTTAACTCAGTCCTTCTGTTTCTTTCTGAGAATGTACCAGAGCGTGTGAGTGAAGGGTTCACTGGACTTTGTGGCTGAGGGTCACAGCTGGCACTCTCGTGCTGCTTCCAGAGTTGGTGACTATAGGTCTTTTCCCTAAGCATCCTGTGACTGCTGACATCTGGGCTTCAGGAACTCATAGTCTTTTCCATGTGAGCTTGCTGGAGCACACCCTCAACTGCCAGTGCTCCAACTCTCCGTCCATGCTCTACATATAGCTAGGGAGATCTGGAGGGAAATCCATGTTTTCTGCCTTCCTAGATGCACCATTCCATCCTCTTCACAAAATTGGAGTCAATTTGAGTTCTTGTAAAGTTTCTCCCAGGTCCTCCACAAAGAATATGTCAAATAGTTCTTAACATTTTAGTGCTCTCCCCAAACTACCCCATGCACCTCTTGCTCACTCAAAAACAACAACAACAACAAGGCGCACACAGCACTGCCTTGCTTCTATCCCAGTTTTTGCTGTTTTCTCACAGAAGGTAGGCAAGAACTAATGGCCTTCACCATTTGAGAGGGTTTGGGAGAGGGTTTGTTTGGTGATGTTGGCAGTGATTTCTAGAGATAGAGGGAGGCAGTGGGATGGAGCCTGGCTGGCAGGATGAAGTCAGCACTAGAAATATTTTCCCAAATTTGTTTGCATTTTCAGAAGAAAAGCTTATCCACAGATGAATGGTTCTAACATAAAAGAAAATAAATCTACCAGACATCACCAATTAAGTGATTATTATTCACTAAAAAAGAAAACCTTGGTGCCTTTATGCTTTGAGGATGAACTGAAAAATCCAAATGCCAAGATAATCGTTAGTCCCACAAAGAGAGAACCTTTCCACACGGTAATAAAACATCTATTGTTTTCAGTAAATGTACTTACTAATATTCACTTGGAGGAATATCACGTATATGACCAGAATTTTTAATAAATTTATTTAAGCTCTTAGGTTCACATTCCAACACATAAATTGTTAATATTCTTTTCTAGAACGACCGTCAGGTCTGGGAATTTCTGGAAATCTTGTTTGTCTTAATGAAGAATGCTTTATCAAATTTGATTGACTGTAGCAGACATACAAAATAAAATGTCATTTAAAAACTGACGGAATCATGTGTTGATTTTCCTAGCTATTATTTTAGCTGTTCTGACCAGCATATACATTTATATAAGGCTATTTGGGAGCCCGCAGAGCATCTAGCAGGACTAGGGAGGCAAATTAGCTTCAGGAATCAATTGCAGCCTCAGCCTGATCCTCTCAGTTTCACACCATCTTATGGTAGGCAACAGAGGCTCTTTCCAAGACTTTTTGACAAGGCTGATGTTCAAAGCTGGACAGGCTTCCAGCACCCTCCACAGCCTTCACAGTGTTTTCATGTAACGCAGTGTTGCTTTTTCTGAATTGAAGACTCTGGTAGGTGTGGGTGATTGGCAGAGCCTGGATCACCCAAAGAAGCTGGCAGAGGCAGTTTCTGCCTAAAACATCGGACTTACAAACTTGTAAAATGGGAAATGGCCTACGATGTGGGTAAGTTAAAAAATCTGCCAACACTGCACGACTGTGGCTCAAGAGGCAATACTGGTACACAACTCATTTCAAAACTAAATCTTTTGTTAGACTTTTAATAATCACAGGCATTACTTTGTCTTTTACACTAAGTGCATTCAAATGTTAAGACTAAATTTTTATTTCATTAACTTCATTTGTAAATAAAAGAATTATTTACTGAGAATTTTATTTTTAGAAAATTAAATTTTAATTTATTTAAAATTTGTATTAATATGGAGAGCAGATTTTATTAATTCATATGTAAAAAGGCAGCCATATTTCTTTCCTCCAACCTTCTTCAATTCCTCTCCTTTCCTTTCTTTGATTTTTGAAAAGACAAATATTAATTCATTTTATAATCACAGGCTTAATTGATCATTAATAATAATATTCAATAAGTACAAACTTTAAATTAAATATTGATAACACATATTTTGAAACAATTTCTTTGGAATTGATTTTTCTGCTAAGTGCAGAAAATAGGGATTGTAAAAACAAATAATATGAGTATAGGAAAAAAATCAAAGACTGGCTCAGATTTTTGTGTCAAACTATTACTTTGGTTATTTCACAATTATCAACCACATTTTTATGAGTCAAGTATTATGCTGTTAGTGTGCAATAATAAGTAAACATTGTAGAGATAATTTTGAATTTTTTGAATTATGTACCAGAGTATCATGATATTATAACTTTGGCTTGTAATCAGTTATGTCTCTTTTAATTCTTTATTCGATATATTTTTAGATATTCTTTTTTAGATTTCTGTAGCATGGAAATCTAAGAAATTCAAAAATAATGTTCCATCTTACCCACTCTCTTACTTTGCAATTACAAAATTTGAAACATATAAGAATTATAGTTATTTCTTCTTATCCCATTTTATTTCAAAAATAATTAAAGAAGGCCAAAGATTTGGATTTTATCCCTTACATGTCATAAAATATTAAGAGGAAAAGAAAGTATATTACATATAAGTACATTTTTGTATTTATTTGAATATCATGATTATTCATATAAATACTCTGTGTAAACAGTGTTGGGGTTATTTATAATTTCAATGTTTAATATATATTTCTTGCCTCAAAAGATTTATACCAAGTATCCTTTTTTTCAATTCACAGGAACAAAGTGAAACAAATCCCATCATTTTTCATGACACAAGAAATATACAGATGTCACTTTTGACCAAAAATAGACTTTCTCCCTATCCTTTGGACTATGAAGAAGACTTTTATTTACGTAAAAGAACAAATTTTGTTTTAGAGAGAAATTGTGACGTTCTCAAATCTTTAGTTAGTGGGCAGTCTATCACTCTTTGCAAGCCCCCCAAAACTACAGCTACAGCGTGGAAGAAAGAGAAATGCTTCATGCCTTTTGAAACAGGCAATGGGGCCATAAAGGAGAGACTAAAGGAGAACACTAACTATCAGAAATTAGAAAAGGGATCTTGCAAGAAATCCCCGCAAGCTTCTTCCAGCCTAGCCAAAACAGTCGCAGATTACCTGGATAAAGCCATTGCTCAAGAAGTGAGTCCTGACACTGACACATGTGATCAAATGTCCCACACACACAAACTCAGTACCTCACCTGTCAGATCCTACTCAAAATCTGCCAAAAATACACTCAAAGTACATAAATCAAGTAATGTAACACCACTGGATGATTTGTTAACCTTGCCAAGTGAAAATTAATTGCCTCATAAAGCACCACTTACACAGCAAGTTAGGGGTAAACGAAGCCAATAATCATTTCAAGATTATAGAGGAACTTACTCAGATAAAAATGTTCTAATGGATGTTATAAGAAAGGCCCACAAATTAGAGTTAACACATCAACAGTAATCAGTTCAAGAACAAGCAAACCTTGTAACAAATAATAAGACAAAAGAAGTAGCTACCAACAAGATGAACTAGTTCATAGCTGTTATTTCAGTTGGTCTGATCAATCAGTAACATGCCTGCAATAAATTCTGACTTGGTGAGAAGCTTGACATAAGCTGACTGGAAATTTACTGTGAAAAGTCAAATAGTTGATTATCAAATAGACTTGCTATTCAGTTAATGAACATGAGTTAATCACACACCTGAGATTTCCATAATCATGGGGAAATAGTGTTACAGTAGCAATTTAAGCAATTAAACATTTTATAAAATAGCTTTTACAGTTAATGTTGGAACTTCATTATAAAATGTTTTTTTCAAATATAACTTTTTAATGAATCAATAATTTAAATTTATAATATTTAGCAACCAAAATAATTTTGTGGCAAATCCTGTAAGTGGTGAATATTTTAAGGTATATTTTTACATCACTATTTTATTGTTTCCAATTAACACAAATAGTATAAAAGTAAAATTCAATAAAGAAGTTATATATTAATAACTCATTTACCATCCATTTGCTTGGAATTCAGAATGCATTTCACATACAACTAGACTAGGAGTGATATATTGATATTAACCTATGGAAGCTTTCTAAACTTACAAATTTATTCCATAGAATAAGTGAAAACAATAAGAAGCAAAACTTTTATAATTCCAATAATTTAAAAACAGTAATGATAAAACTTAATAAGAAAATTAATTTTTGATTTTTAGTAATAGAGAAGTAGTTTGGATTAATGAAGGGAGGTCTTTTGAAATTTGATCGAAAAACCCGTTTGGGTGCTATTTCTATTTCAAACCTGAGACTTTCTCTATTGTGTGTCATTAATATATTCATAGTCATCGGTTCACCAGATTCAGACAAACTTTGACAAGTGCAGGTTTCTGAAAACTTTAAGATCACACCACTGGACAAGGCAAGCAGTCCCAGAAGGTCAATGAAGAAACTAATTGTTCACAAACCTGCTAACATAATGTCCAGCAGAATCAATTGACTACCAGGGGAGTGCTTTGTCAGATTTTCTGGCTAAGTCAACCAATGCAGTAATTATTAACATAAGCAATCTGAATTAACTCCATAAGATTGATCCAAGTTCAACTGCCTAAAATAATCTACCTAGCATACAGTAATATGCATAGGAACTTGAGAAGCAAAACTGATATTTAAAAGATAGTAAGTTTAGTATGAGACATGAACAGATAGATGATGCCTGGATGGCCAACTGGTGCTTCCTAGACCTGTTAGGCCTCCATAATCAGAAGCCAGAATACCTGAGTTTAAGTGCTGCATCCACTCCCAATTCCAGTTTCCTGCTAATGTGGATCCTGTGAGGCAATGTTGATGGCTCAGGAAGTTGGGTCTTTGTCACCCATTTGGGAGACATGAATTGAATTTTTTCTCTGGGATTCAGCCTGACCCATCCCAGCTATTGCAGGCTTTTGGAGAGTGAATGAGAAGATGAGCATTTCAAAGATCTAATGTTCCTACTTGGTCAGTTAATTCTCTCTCTTGCTCACTCAGTCTCTTGTACTCGTGTGTATGTGTGTGTGTGTGTTGCTATCTTTGCCTCTCAGATAAATAAGTAATTCAAAGTGCTCTTTTATGGATTTCTGGAGAAATATCTCATGACAGAGGTTTCTGCCTCAATGGACAAGTTATTAAAAAAAATTAAATAAACTATTACACAAAGGCCAACTCGTTGGTTCAACTGGTAGTCCTCTCTCTCCAAAGCACTGGCATTCTATACAGGTATTGGCTTGTGTCCTGGTTGTTCCACTTCCCATCCATCTCCCTGCTTGTTGCCTGAGAGAGCAGTAAAGCATGGCCCAAAGCTTGGGACCCTGCACCCACGTGGGAGACTTAGAAGAAGCTCCTGGCTTCTGCATCCATTTATGGAATGAACCAGTAGAGAAAGGGTCTTTTTGTCTCTTTTTCTCTCTGTAAATCTTCCTTCCCAACAAAATAAATAAATCTTTTTTTAAAAATAAGCTATTATAAATACAGAGGCAGATGATATCCTAGACAAGTACATTTCCAAGGTCACATACATATCAAAACTTCACTCTGTTACCACAAAACCGTTGTCTCTCTTTTCCTTATATTTATTCTTTGTGTCTGATAAGATAATGTGACATTTATTAATTCATAATAGATAACGTCTGTGAAGATCTTGATTAGTTTTGTATATTAAACCAAAATCCCTAAGTTATCTTGGAAATGACACTCTATAACACATTTTAATGATGTTTCTAGTGTGACTATTCATTCAAATTATATATATGGTCTTTTATTTTGAATTAAGCTTTATACTTACATATTCAGAATCCCATTTAAAGGCTAATAGCAGGCAAAACTTACACTGAAGTAGTAAATTATTCCATTAAATGAATAACAAAAAAGAAAAAAGGAATGATTCAAAAGTATGCACACAAACTTATAACCCCAATCCCTTAGATTTTGGTAGTTTTCAAATACATAATGATTCAGTGATGGAGTCTTTGGTTAATATTACTAGTGCTGTCATATAGGTAATCCCTAATGTATACAATATCCCACAAACACCTGTCTGGTGTGCCACTCCAGTATATGAAAATCAACCGTAAGAATTGGCAACTTTTAAGGGCCAGTGTAGAATAGCGACCTTAAGAGCACCACTGTCACCTTGTAACAACTGGAAGCTGAACACTTTAATTTGCACCAGAGAATGAAGAAGAAATTTCCAGAAGGCATAAATAACCCTAAGTGGGAATCTCTTGGTAGAATGTTTATCCCAGGGGTTGGTATATTATAAATGAAGAAGTCTGTCTCCAACATTTGCTACTGCAGCTTGCTCTATAAGAAAAACTATCAAGCCCAGTATGATGACTTTATGGTTAAATCCTTACCTTGCAGGAGCCAGGATCCTATATGAGTGCCGGTTCATGTCCCAGTGCTCTACTTGCCTTCCAGCTCCTTGCTTATGGCTTGGGAAATCAGTAAAGGATGACCCAAAGCCTTGGGACCCTGCACACACATGAGAGACTCAGAAGAGGCTCCTGGTTCCTGACTTCAGATCAGCTCAGCTTCAGATATTGTATATATTTGGGGACTGAACTAGTAAACACAAGATCTTTCTGTGTCTCCTCTCTGTAAATCCGATCTGCCTTTCAAATTAAAAAAAAAAACTTTTCATAAAAAAAGAGAAAATATCTATTGCTACGCGCCAAATTGGCTTAAATTCTCTTGATACAGATATTTCAGATGACAGCATTGTGCAGGACAACTTCTTGATCAAATGAGTATGTAAAAGTTTTCTACTGTTGAATAAATACATCTGGGTATGATAAAAACTCACTTGCAAGAAATCAACAAATCACACAACCAGAATAAGTAGATTCTTCTCCAGTTATTTACTCATTTTAACTTTTTGGTTTGTAGGCACTCCTGTAGTATACATCAGTTTCCTGGTGTGATCTGCTTACTGATTGCTTCTCACAATACTCCCCCTGGTGTGCTGTATCATCTCAGGAACCTCAAATGTTTATATGCATCCTTCCGTGGTGCAGGAAATAGTCTTATTTTAATTAGACCAATAAAAACAGAACTAAATCATTCAACTGACTTGATATCGTGATTGTGAATTCCATCCTGAGATCAAATAAATCATTATGATGATGGTAGAGAATGACACCCATGCCCAAGGTTGTAATCAATAAATTGATGGAGACAATGAACAGAATGGGAGACTATGAAAGGCAGCAGGCAGGAAGCCATTAGTCTGAGGTTCTACACTTTGAGTTTCTGCTTAACCTAACAGTATATATATAAAAAGCATGACATTTAGGAGTTTCATGGCATGAACAGAATTTGGCTTCCTAAACTTATGCAAATGTTTAAATCCCAAAGTCTTAGTAATGTCTAATGGATTAATGTTAGTTTGTTGTGAATGGAGATCTGATTCAATTGTGTCAAGGAGCAGGACCCAGTGGGAGATCTTCAAATCCCTGGGGGTTTGCTCTTGGTTATGTAAGCCAGGTGCTCCTCTTGTCCGTTTCTGATTCCTGGGTTGTCATGTGATCATCCCTTCACCATTCTCTGGCTTCATCAGATACCTGAAACAAAAGGGTCACCTGCACAGAACCTCCAAAGTGTAAGCCAAAATAAACTCCCTGCCTTCCTAAGAAGCCTTTTCGTGTGCTTTTATTTAAAATAATGAAAACCTAATGCAGTCCAATGTCTACCCTTTGCCAGAAGCTGGGTTTTAGTCAATTACAGGCATGCAAGTCAATATATGATGCCCAAATAAGCCAGAAGCCTAGCTGCAGCTCACCAAGAACTTAATACTTCGTTTCTGTGTTCAGCCCATAAAAGATCTCATCCTGCTAAAAGGAGTTTTCTGAATTTCTTCTGGTTCTGAGTGCTGCCAATTCATGAATTGTCTGTGCTTATATTCTGCTAAAATTCATTTGTTTAAGGTTTTTCTTTTAACCTCCAGAGCCAGGAACAGCAGCAAGCTTGTGGGGATTATGAGAAGGAACGATTCAAGAAATCTGAGGATGGACAGAGGCACATGGTTCCTGCCCATGCACATTCAGCGGAAAGGAAACTGGGCTAATAAATGCCTGAACATGGTTCTCCACATAATCTGTTTTGCTTATAATGCATCCAATTGGCAAAAATCAACTAAAATCAAGAGTTAATACAAGTCTTAGATGATTACGAGGCAACACAGGAGCCAAAGTCACAATTAAGGAGAGCTACTCTGAGGTCTGCAGAGCCTCAGCATCAATCCCCGAGTCACTTCCTACTTACAGCTAGATGCCTCTATTGCCTCAACTGAATCACAACACTGGCATCAGAGAATCTGTTCATGTAACCACACAAACTCATATCCCAGGGCACAGAGTGGGGCGCAGGGTAGAGAGATGGGGGAGGCAGTTGAGAAATATTCAGCAGAAGCTAAAGTCCCTTGATCTACTGCACTGGACACAGGAACAATAATGACCAGTTAAATTTTTTCTTAGAATAATTTCAGAAAGTTAAAAAATATGGCTATCATACATATGAAAAGGAACATGTCAGGGATTGTATTCAACTCATTAAAAACTACAGAGAAGGATATTCAGAGTAGTTTAGGGCCCTACACAGTAGCCTAGTGGCTAAAGTTCTTGCCTTGCACGCACCGGTATCCCATATGGTTGCTGGGTCTAATCTCGGCAGCCCCACTTCTCATCCAGCTCCCTGCTTGCATCCTGGGAAAGCAGTCAAGGAAGGCCCAAAACTTTGGGATCCTAAAATCATGTGGGAGACTTGGGGGAGACTCTGGGCTCCTGACTTCAGATTGGTGCAGCTCCAGCAATTGCAGCCACTTGGAGACTGAATCAGCAGATGGAAGATCTTCCTCTCTGTCTCTTCTCCTCTTTGTATATCTGACTTTCTAATCAACAAAAATGTGGATTAAAATAAAAAATACAGACTTATATATTCAGAGAAGTAAAAACATGTTACAGTACTAATTGCGGAAGTGACTAACATCATATTGGGAGAAACTGAAAACGTTGGAGTTTTTTAAAAGATTTACTTATTTCATTGGAAAGTCAGATATACATAGAGGAGGAGGAGAGAGAGAAGAGCTTCCATCCAATGATTCACTCCCCAAGTGGCTGCAACAGCTGGTGCTGTGTCGATCCGAAGTCAGGAGCTCTTTTGGGTCTCCCACGCAGCTGCAGGGTCCCAGGGCTTTGGGCCGTCCTCTAGTGCTTTCCCAGGCCACAAGCAGGGAGCTGGATGGGAAATGGAGCTGCTAGGATTAGAAACGACCCCATATGGGATCCCAGCATGTTCAAGGCGAGGACTTTAACCGCTAGGCCACCGCTCCGTGCCCTGGAATTTTCTTTTGGAAGGAAATCAATTGTATCATTGCAGATAAATTTTAGGCACATTGCAATGTATGACAATGCTGCATTGCTATCGGTTTTCTACAAGTTAACCTCTTCGAAATAGTTAGACAAAGTGTATATACCTATAGACCTAATTAATCCAATATGGACAATTGACATGTCAGACAATTCCCAGTACTTTTCTGAAAGGATATACAGCCATTACTTGTTTCTAAGAACCAGACTACATTTTAAACAATGCTTCAGTCCAGGCTAGGCTGCATTACCTACTGCCAAGTGTCATGGCTGGGCATAGGCAGGCCCAGGAGAGGCTGCAGCACCTGCTGGTATGATCAAGAACAGGGACCAGGGGCGAGCCTGGTAGGGAATCCTTGGGGACATCCTGCTAGGCTGCAGTGCCTGACAATGCATAGAAAAGCAAGGTCTGGGAGTGAGCCATGCTGGGCTGACCTGCAATACCCACGGTACATGAAAGAGTTGGTACTGGAGTCTGGCCTGGTATGTGAACTTTGAGGAGGCCTCTGTTGGGCTGCAGCACCCACTAACGTTCATGAGATCAGGGTTGGGGTGTTGGGGTGGGCCTGGCTGGTCTGGGCTACAGCACCCACTGGCACACTCAGAAGTCCAGGGCTAAGGATAGGGCCAGATCAGACTAGATCACAACACCCACCAATGAGTTTGGGGCCAAGGATATAACAGGCTGGAGTAGACTTGACTTCAGAACCTACTGACACACATGAGAACTAGGACTCAAGGTGGGTCTGGTAGGAGATCTTTTGGGATATTCCAGCTACGTTGAAGTACCCCGTGGTGCATGCAAGAGCTGGGGCTGGGGGTGGGCCAAACTAGGTTAGGCTGCAGCACCCACCAGTAAGAACCAGAAAGGGATTCAGGCCACACTATGCTAGACCACAGCACCTACTAGAATGCATGAGAGTTAGAGCTAGGGGCGAGTCTGGTAGGGGATCTTTAGGGACACCCATGTTAGGCCAGGTAACTCATGTGCTGGGGTGTGTTGTGCTGGGCCAGGCCACAACACCTGCCAGCAAGAGCTAGAGCTAGGGGTGGACCAATCCATGTTAGGCTATGTGACTGTTGCTAAGGACCAGGGCTGGGGAGTCACAATAGAAATTCATAGGGGTTCCTCAAACCAGGCTGTAGAACCCACTGGTGTGCATGAAAACAGGCTGGGGGCAGGCCACAATGGGCTAGGCCACACAGCACCTGCTGGTACAGGCAAGAACTAGAGTGGGAGCTGGGGTGGGCTGCATTGCAGCACCTGATTGTAGGCACAAAAACTGGGAGTGGGGCTTACCAGGTAGGGTTCTTCAGGGTTGCCCCTACTAGGCTCTATCACCACCAGTGCATGTGAGAGCCGTGCCTTGGGGCAGGCTGGGCAGGGCTAGGCTGCAGAACTTGCCAGTTTGTATTAAAGGCTAAAACAGGTTGGAATTGACCAAGCAGCTGCACCAACTGGCACAGGTGTTGGTGCATTGGGCTGATTGAGCCAAACTCTGTACCAGCTGGCACACATGACACCAAGGTCTAAACCACGTGAGGTTTCTTAGTGGCTTCCAAACTGGATACCTGTGCTCTTGATCTCTGACCTCAGAGAAAATCAAACGGACATGTAGTCTAATCCTGGAGTAAACATTGCAGGACTGGGCCACTTCAGTTGTTGATCCTCATGCAAGAATGGAGAGCATTCCTAGATGAACATGAACAAGATAGCCAACTCATCTAAGCCATCAGAAGACTTGGAGTATTTCATCGTAAGATGGAAAGAAGGGCAGGTTGAGCAACACTCCAGGCCAGACTCTATGACAAGCACCTTAGTCTGTAGATGCACTGAGATAGACATGGACAGCCCGCAGGCTTTAGAAAGAATTTCACATCTCTGGAGCAGCACAGCTGACAAACTCTCATAACAATTAAGACCACTCAAGTAATACCCTCAGAACATTCTTCCCCATCAAACTGTCTTCATCCTTGGGTGCTAATACAGTGTGACAGCAAATAGCAGCACACTTTCTCTGCCCCTTCTGTTCTGTGGACACAGGAGGGAAAACTGAAACACTGAAATCACACACCTCTCCACCCACCCAACCCTCTCCATCCTAATTGGAATCAGAAGCCCACCTGTGTATGTAACCCTTTCAGCTTTTTAATAAATACTAAATTTTTTAAAATTACAGGGGATATAAAGTGCCATATCACCAAACCATTAACAAAATTCAGATTGCTTGCCAAATAGGCAAAACTGAATGAAACATCACATGAAAGACGAGTCTCAGTACAGGTTAAGTGTAGTAATTACCAGAGGATTCCTTGAAATCAGACTTTGTCAGCAATTGCCCTTTTGATTAGCCACTGAATTTTTACATACTTTTTGAGAAATGCTTCCTTAAAAATTTAGCAAAATCTTGCAATATTTTATATATATCTAGTTGCTCTCGTTCAAGTTGTGATATATTTTACCCCAAATCTATATTTGATAATGAAATATTCTAATTTTAATTAAAGTATGTATTTTAGTCTTTTTAAAGAAACATTTCTGTAGGGAACCATTCATACATTTAAACACACCTAGGGAGCTAATTTTTTTCCTGGATTCAGGGTTCTAGAATTGAATATGAGTATAATTTGAACAGAACAGTAATTCAATACCTCAAGGGAGAATTAAAACCAGAGATTACTCAAACTGAGGGTATA